CAACAAAGCCCACATGGAAGAAGCATACCAGCCTGTGTGATCAAGAGGTATCGATGGGATCAGGTATCGGGCATTAAAGAACAACAACAACAAAAAATCATATTGTGAATGAGGGGGAGTGCAGAGTGGAGACCCAAAGCCCATCTGTAGGCAACCTGACATCCCCTTATAGAGGGTTCGTGGGAAGGAGACGAGTTAGTTAGGGTGCAGCATAGCAATGATGAAACATACAACTTTCCTCTAGTTCTTTAATGCTTCCTCCCCCCACTATCAGTATCCCAGTTCTACCTAAAAATCCAGCTAGATCAGAGGATGCACACTGGTACAGATAAGAGCTGGAAACAGGAAATCCAGGACAGATGATCCCTTCATTACCAGTGGTGAGAGTGGTGATAATGGGAAGGTGGGATAGAAAGGGGAAACTGATGGCAAGGATCTACATATAACCCCCTCCCTGGGGAACAGACAACAGAAAAGTGGGTGAAGGGAGACATCGAACAGTGTAAGACATGAAAAATAATAATTATAAATTATCAAGGGTTCATGAGGGAGGGGAGGGTAAGGGAGGGAGGGAAAAAATGAGCAGATACCAAGGGCTCAAGTAGAAAAAATGTTTTGAGAATGATGATAGCAAAAAATGTACAAATGAGCTTGACACATTGCATGGATGCATGGATTGTGATGAGTTGTACGAGCCCTCAATAAAATGATTTTTTAATGATAAAAAATTAAATAAAAAACAATATTTAATTGCATAATGGCTATAGATTAGGAGCCAGGTTTGCAGTATGTAAAATATGTTAATTGTGTATATTCCATAGCTACATTGCATTTAGGATTCATACAAAGTGACTTTTAATTTTGCAAATGTATGCTAAGCTGAAACAAAAAGGTAATGAAATTACATATTTACTCTGTAAGTTATTCTATTGTGTTTTTTAAAGATTATTTAAAAATAAAGCTGGTCCTTACTCATTACATTGATTACATCATCCACTACTTGATTATGATTCTTAAGTTTGAAAAACCTCTCAGCTGTATATATGATTTCATCCCTTGATTGTCTTTTTTATATACAATTTAAACCAGGGATGCTGTTATACAGTATATTTCTGGATGCTTCTCCATTTTAGGCTGTTGAAAGATATAAGAACGCCCTAAGCCAAAATCTAACTTTCAAAATTAGTGGCATGTATAAATTTGACCTTCTTCTTGGTCTTCTCTTTCAGAGGGAAATGATAAAGATTTCACTTTGAATGACTTTGGCTTCATGATCTTCCACTCACCATATTGCAAACTGGTTCAGAAATCTCTAGCTCGGATGCTGTTGAATGACTTTCTGAATGACCAGAACAGAGATAAAAATAGTGTCTATAGTGGCCTAGAAGCCTTTGGGTAAGAGGATCTGTTGTACTTTTTGGTTTGGTTTGTTTTTGATATCTGTGAAATTATTTGTATAGATTTCAGAGATTTATTCGTGTGAAAGGCTCTTAGAGGTCATCTAGTCTAACTCCTTTATCTCCTCCATAAAGAAACTGAGCTCCAGAAAGGCGCGGCCTCCTGGCACTACTTCTCCAGTCACTTTTACACAGATCAACTTTTCTACTTACTCCTTCCAGCTCTATTCCCACTGCCAGCATGATTATGTATATATATGACTTTATACGTGGCCATAGTTACTAAAACATCTTCTCCACGC